GGGGGGGGGGGGGGGCAGATAAGGTGCATCATGGGAGATGTGCAAGAGGCGTAGTGTAAGAGACACCCTGGGACAAGACAAAGAAAATTATCATTTTAGATGATGTGATCCGTTTGTCTTGTCGCAATGCGTATCTTGCTCTCCAGCGTGGCAATTTTGCACCACGTAAATGACCAGCTCCAAAGGGCCTTCTTTTTATTGCAACTCATTGCAACCTGTCGTAACATCATCAGAAGTACCCAGCACCATACAGCCGGGTGTTCAAATGGGTCCACTATGTGGCATCTAACATGTGCAGCAGGAGTTTGGTTTAACAGTTAAGTTATTTTTTATCCAATTTGACTTAAAGTGAAGGTTAGAGTAAAACAAAGAAATACCAGTACAATTCAGTGTTTGTTCATTTACTGAATTTTGTTTAATTTTACAATCTAATATTGACTCAGATCAAGAAGTTTAAAGCTGCTTTCTTTGGTGTGCGTCAATATTTAGGTCTTCGTCACCTGTGCAAAGAAACAGAAGGTCATAAGAAGGTGGAATATGATCGTTAGGATAGGTCCCCGATTTTCATTACTAACAGTTTCATTAAACGACAAAGGGAAACACGAATGAAACATCATTGTGTCATTACCATGGTCTATAACCACAACTCCCGACCAATGAGTGTGAAAGAAATCACTTAGTTATAGCTTATTAAATCACGGTCCTAACAAGCCTTGATCCCGTTTCATTGCGCTTAGTTATGAGAATATATTTTTTTTATCATCATGATCATGGGTAACTATGCCGATACACGAGTATTGCACCAAACGAAAAGAAGAAAACTGTTTATTAAAACTGATATTACGCTCGATAATATTGTAACTACATATCGTCAAATTAGAGACGTTAAGACTGTAAGACGAGGACGACTACGAGGACAAGACAGCCAGCGTCATTTTGGCGGGAAAACGTGATAGCCATCGTCATCCTCAACACGGGTTTTAGCGAGAATGTCGTGGAAACAAGATGTAAGGATAATGTAAGAAGTTTTATTAGTTTGCAATAAGGAGAGGACTTAACCTTAATTCTTCAATAAAAAATACTGCGTTAACTTTCCTGGTAAAAAAAAGTTAAAATGAAGCTTCCCGGTTTTTTCTTTTTTTTTTTGAGAATATGCGAATACTTCAAGTTCAATCTTGTTCTCGTGGTCGCCCTCTTAAGTCAAAATGCCGTTTATGTATCAGTAATAAACATAAAATTACATAAAACTCTAACATAATTAAAAACAATGCTTATGAAAAATTTTGGAGGGATAGCAAAGTAAAGTAGTCGTATCATGGTATTTTTGAAGAAGGTCTATTGGAGGTTATGCTTTGTAGTTTCACAAAACTTTACTGGTGTAAAAAACGATGTAAAATTGCTTTATAATTACCTCACTCGTCGATACTATATTTATAATAATAACAGCACACCAGTCCTGAAGGACAACGTCCGTAAACAATGAAATATTCTCCGTAAGCATCAAATCCCTGGCAGTTGGAATAAGTCGAGCAGAAGTCTGTGCAGCGTGCAATGGCTCGCTTGTCTGCTCCTTTCGTAATTTCTACACAATAGGTCAATAGCAAGAGAGAATAAGACAGAATAGTTATTCTCTTTAGGTCAAAAGCTGATGACTATTATTAGTACTTACCAAATCAGCAGATAGCAATTTTCAGGCGTTTATGTTAGCTCCCATTTTGCTCCATGTACGATAATCTTGATTCCGAATTCCGGTAAATTAATTTTTTGCTTCATGGTATCTGGAATCCAAGAAAGCCTTGGATTTCCTTATATGGGGCGACCCAAACCGGCGTCAGTCTTTTTTCGCGCCAGTTTCATATTAATTAGACGAAATAAATTATAAATTTAAGGGACGAAAAAAGCAACTGTACCAACAATTACCTGGAAAGCGAGGAAATTTGGCTTGACGGTGTTATTTGGCGGCTAGAAAATTGTCTTCCTACTAACTTCTCAAAAAAAACATGAAAAATTCAATTGACAAAATCCTGGAAATATTTACAAACACTGCCTGATTCAAGACTTTTGTAACTTTATCCAGCTGATTTGGTAAATACTAAGCAATACCTCGAAGCTTTTAGTCTCGGTGAATATCCACCACCATAATAATTCACCTCCCACCTTCTTTTCGGGAAGGTCAGAAATTAGGCTTTTGTTCTTCAACCATTCAGACCATTTGTTTAGTCACTCTTTATTTCATTTTTGCCAAAATTGGATGCAATAAAAACTACAGTAACTATAATATAACAATATTTTTTGTGAACGGTTTTAACCTTGGAGTCATTTTATAAGTAGGTTGAGCATGATCGTCCGAATGAGCGTAGTCCTGAGTAGGACTGTTGTTGACAGTGACTGGCGTTTTCACAACGTACCTGCATGGTAGTCATCCTCAGAGTCAAATTGAGTTGTATCACGTCAGTTGACTGTATACAACTCTGGTTATTGACATGGTTGGTCAATTGAGTCGTGATGATATTGTTACCCGCCAACTCCTCCTAAGGGTACGGAAAAACGGGCAACAAAAAACGTGCAACTTGTTTTGCAACATTGCTGCAAAACTAGGTGAATAGTGATGTTGCGTTTTACCACCCATCTCAAACCTGTCTTGCAACAAATCAGGTTGTTAACAGGTTTGAACGTGGGTGGCAAAACGCGCAACATCGCTATTCAACTCGTTTTAAAGCAATGTTGCAAAACAAGTTGCACGTTTTTTGTTGCCCGTTTTTCCGTACGTTTAACCTATACTTGTACGAAACAACAAAAGCAGCAGGCAAAACGCTTCCTAGTATACGGCTCAAATTCTTTTGGGGTGATCTTTAAATGAATGATAGCCTGTTCCAAGCGTTCAGATAGTGGAGAGCGATGCGAAGTAAAGAAAGCGATAAAAAGTCGCTTTTATTTTTTTTGCGCTCCTTTTCACTTCGCACCGCTCCCCACTATCTGAACGCCTGGAACAAGCTAAATGAATGAATGAGGAGCGTTTTTGGAAATATCACACTGAAACGGCAAAGAAATATTAAACCTAAAAAGGATAAACTAAGGGGAGAATAAGTTTATAACAAAAAAGGAAAAGTACGTAACTTTTTATCCTTTTCTGAGACTGAAATAGTTTTTTTTTGTCATATATCTCTGCATGAAGATTCTACGGTTTACACACTCCTGAGAAAATGACTCAGGGATCGTGAGTTATTTTTTAAGAAAGGAAAGTCTGGCATATTCAAAATCTCTTTTCAATATAGTTCTGATTTTAGTGTTTATGACTTAATTCTTAGATGATGAACAGCAGTTTTAACTAGTTTTTTATTTAACAACTCACCTGTCCTGAAAAAGTTCTGCAGAGTATTCATTCGAGGTTTACATGTGGTAATTGTGACCAAAGCTAGCAAAACGTAGACGTACAGCAGTTTTCCGCCCATCTTTATTTTCAACTGAATGCAAAAGAAAAACGAAAGAATGAGAGCAAGTAAGAGAGGATAAAGTTTTATCCTCTCTTGGACCAAGTTATAGTAGAACACTGAGTCAAAAGGTCAAGATTTAACTGACGCTTAACTTGTTCAGAGTGATCGAAGAGTTTGATCAATCTGGCACTGTGTTCTTGAGTTTGTTATGCTGAACAATGTGATTCCAGCACTGAATTTGTGCTTGATCAAATAGGCTGCGAAAAAATTATGATCGCATGGTTAGAATTTTACCTAGACCTTAAATATTAATACTCTTTCTTTCAACGAGCAAGGTTTTTTCAGTCGTTCAGTGTTTTTTCTTTGCTGTTGACAGCTTTAGGTTTTTGGACGTGAAGTCTTCCTCTGCGATTGTTGCCCCACCCACCGTGAGACTGTATTCACGTATTATGGGACGGAGTAAATCAACCCATTTCAAGATTATTTTTCGGATTCCAATAAAAGGCAACAAATTTAAATGACTCCCTTTTCATAGTTAGTTTCCCGTGGGAAAGGGGCAAAGAATTATTTTATAGGTTGAATAACATTTCATGTGGCAGCATTCTAATTGCTTCGTTACTGAGGATCTAGAGAAGGAAGATCTTTAGTTTAAAAGGCCGCAAACAGTAAAGTTGAAGGTGGCCAACTTTCTTCCTGTCTGTCTTTGCTAAGGGCAAAAAATGCCCATCTTGACAGCTAGCGTCCTTAAAATATGTATATACTATTAAAGCAGTACATGACGATCGTTATCGGTCGAAACGTCGACAAAACAAATAAATCAAACCTCTTTAGAATCTCTGTTGAGCAATTGGGTCGAAAGCCAGTCCAGAAAATATGCACGGTGAAAAACAAAAACTGAATGTTGCTACTCTCGAGTATTAATACAAAAACTCATTCTTCGAAATAAATACTCGCGTTTTTAGCAGTTTTTAGCACCTTTATTTCTAACTCAATACCGACTCTTTCAACAATTGGAAAAATTCTATGCTACGTCTTTTGACGATGAAACTCCCCTCTAAAGAATATATTCTTTCCTTGAATTAAAACTTGTGTTGACAAAAACCTTGGGCCTACAATATCCAATCGTTTTGTAAACAAGAAAAGCAACGTTTTTCGATTTATTTTCAAGGGTAATATCTTTATTCCCTACGGAGGTTGTGATAAGACTATAAATCATTTCTTATTTTCTATTATAAAAAATTAACAATTTCGCACAACTGATTCGTAAGGCGATAGTGTTTCAATTTTGACCAAATGTCTTTAAATTGCATGTGACAGCTGATGCCGCGCTTATGATAAAACTGATTTTATTTAAGTTTTCGTTTCAGTTCACGCATGGCCGCAAGCCCATCCGGCATTTAAGTAAATTAGTTTTTTTCTTCCTTTGTGTCAAATCAAAAACTCAAAAAATAAAACAAAAATTCCTCACGCAATTGAAAGCAAAAACTTTTCTCGAAGTCATCAAAATTACCAATTTGTATCAAATGCCAACCTATTAAATGTTAAGTATCCAAAGACACTTACTCCTTAATTGCGCACCTTGCATTGAATATAAAATTTTGATTGGCTCGTTACTAAATACGATTTAAGGGTGTTTTGAGTTAATGAAAATTACTAAAACTCCCCAATGACTAGCCTATTATAGCTGCGATTTCATTTATATAATAAACAACCTATGAACCAAAACAAAAATTAAAAATACACTAAGGCGCAGCGATAAGAAAACGGATTTAGCATATTAACCTTTATCGAACGAAGACAAACAGAGGGGACCATGGGGAGGAAGGGGGGGAGGATGTAACACAAAAATACCATTTTCATTTCATTAAATTTCTGTTTTGAAGGGTGTTCCTTTTAACAGCAAGTTCTTTATCAAAATATTCAATATAGCACTATATCCACCGTAATTTGCACTTGAATTTTATGGTAAGTTGAGTATAACAAGGAGATTTCTTCAAAGAAAAATTATATCATATGGGCGTCGTTTTCTAAATTTTCACCAATTATTTGATCCATTGATCAAGGCCTTAAAATCACCATGTTAAACAGTAAGCAGCAGATTAAGTTAACTGAGCTGGTCTAGTGTGATATGCTGGTCTAGTATACCAACCCTGATGTCTCCACGACTTTTCTAGATCCTTGAAACATGGTAAAAGGCCTGAAGAGGTTTTTTTGAGATCAATGGGCGAGTACCAGAGTAACTCAGAGTAATGTTACCATACCACGTTCTATTTAAGCGAGAAACGTTTTCTGTGTTTGCATATAGCCTAATATAATCACAAGAGATGGTTACATAAGATCCTTGTGCCGTGCTTTGATGTAATAATGACCGCCTTTTTCTAGTTTAGTGTTAGCAATATGGTCTTTCACTGTATATTTCTCGGGAAAAAGGCGATCATTATTACATCAAAACACGGCACAAGGATCTTTTTTCCCATTACAAT